AGTTACTGGGACTGGATCACTGGAATGACTGGTTCTGATTTCTCTCTCCAGAAGTCCAGAAGATGGAATATCGGCATCAAAAGAAGGAGAGAGCAGAACCTCCAGGATCCATCAGTCCATCTATGAGGAGTGACCGGTCCAAAGGAAACAACCCAAAGTTCAGTGATGAACCTGGACCCTCAGACAGAAAGTAAGAAACCAGTTTCTAACTGATTCATGTGAATCTATAGAGATAAAATATAAATGATATGAACTGGTTGATCTCAGTGTTTGAATAAAAAGTATTTTTTATTGTAAATTAATTTAAAGCTGAATAAACATGAAGGATGTTGGTCAGAAAATCAGAGTTTGAATGAAGGTCTGAATGAATCAATGATGAAAATGTTGCATGAAAACAAAACCAACCAAGAATGTGAAGAGCAATGGTCCAGTTTATATACTGGGAACACTGGGTCCAGTTGATCCAGGTAGGCTGATAACCTGGCCACGCCCACTGAGCCTCAGCAGCTCCAAACAGAAAGGTCAAAGGTCAAAGCGGCTCCAGAGGACTGGGCTGGACTTCTGGTTCTGAGGTTCTTCTTCCTGGTCGGTTCTTGGGTTCTGGTCTTTCATGATCCACATCGGCTCTTCAGACCAGATGAACAGCTTTAGTTCTGATCCTCTGCTCTCCACCTTCTACCACTAGATGGCAGCAGTGAGACTCTTTGCAGTGCATTCTGGGTATTGGAGTTTTATCAATGGATACGACAGAAGAACTTTGTGGAATAATTCCTAGAAATATAATATGATCAGCTCCATCAAACTGGAACATGAGCCTGTTGTTCTGCAGGTTCTGCTGTGACCCAGAGAAAATGTTGAGTTTGACCCAATAAATAGTCTGAATGTTTCATTCTGGAGCTTTAAACCTTCTGCTTCTCTGCAGCAGTTTGTGTTCAGAGCTTCTTCTCTGGTTTTTATCTCAGTTTCTCACTGATTGATGATCTGAATTACAACATGTTTGTGTTTCAGAGGGCAGAACCACAGATGGAGAGCAGAACCTCCAGGATCCATCTGTCCCTCCATGAAGAGTGACTGGTCCAAAGGAAAACCTCCAGAGTTCAGTGATGAACCTGGATCATCAGAATCAGAGTAAGAAACCAGTTTCTAACTGATTCATGTGAATCTATAGAGATAAAATATAAATTAACTGGTTGATCTCAGTGTTTTAATAAACAGTAACTTAATTTTCTTACTTATTAATTTAAAGTTAGACATGAAGGATGTTGGTCAGTAAATCAGTTTGAATGAATTAATATGGGTTAAAATGTTGCATGAAAACAAAAACATGTGAGGAGCAACAATTCAGATTGTCTGTAAACCCACTGAAGCAGTGAAACCAGCATCTTCCAGACTGGGAACACTGGCATCAGTCATCATACCAAATATAATTCAATGAAGTACTTAAAACCAGAAATCATCAATGTTCTGAGGTTCTGTTCTGACCCAGTTTCTGGTCCCTGGTTCTTTGCGGACCTTCATGAACATGTTCAGCTCCAGCCTGTTGCTAGTGAATATTTCAGTGATGAAGAAATGTCTTCACAGGAGGAGCTTTAGTGAGGAGGAGCTTCCATCCTGCTGTGCTTTGGGTCAGAATGTTCTGATGGATCCGGGCTGGACCAGCTGCCCCCAGTGTGGGAAACGACCCAGAACAGGATCTGGACCGACAGCCAATCAGAGCAGCCGTGCTCCAGGTGAGACTGAACATGTCCAATCAGAGCTTCTTCCTTCCAGATCCACGTCTTTAGTTGAGATTTGAACATTTAAGGATTCAAAGTTTTATGTCTCAGTAACTCGACTTAATAAACATGTAATTTCAGCCTGTTCAAAAAATGGCCACAAGATAAATATACAAATTTGACTTTATTTTGTTCATTTTAAAATGAGAAGTGAAGACTCTTACTCTGAAGGGTCGTGTTGCAGCAAGTTAAAATAATCATAATATGATGAATCTGCACATTTTAGTTAAAATCATAGACATTGTAAAACTCATAGCTGAAGGGTTTCTGTATTTTATGTTTTCTCCTACATATTATGTTGTTTCTAAGTTATTTAAGTGCCATAAGGTCTGTATTATTATTATTATAATAATTATTAATATTGTTTTTAATTTTAAAATGAGCAGCTCTAAATAAAACATTTCATAGAATCAATTTGATGATTCTTACAGATAATTTTATTTGGGTTTCAGCACATTATGAGTTTTAGGGGAATGAAATAGCAGAAAGGATGGCTCAGGGTATTGATTGACATTAATGTTATGTTTAGAATAACAGAAATAAAGTGAATAATAAAACAATAAAAGAAAGAGAGGTGACAAAAGTTCTAGGTCAGCAAATTGCCCACCTGCCAATATGGTTAATCTGATTCTGCTGAAAAGGATTTTTATCCTACTTTTATTGGTTATTACACCAGGCCGTTAAGGTTCTGCTGGAAAATTGCATCTTACAATTCAGGAAATGACTAAAGGACAATTCCACGTAATTTCTCACTACCTTGAGCATCTTTAATGTGATCTACTTCAAAAACTAAAATGGTTTTCACGAGGCAGAAAGTGATTTTGAGCAACCTCAGAGGTCACTGAAGTCTCTGAAAAGCTCCTGGTTCAAGGTTGAGGTTCAGCAGCCTGGAGATGATGGTAAATGTAGAATATAATAAGGAGTTATGTTACAGAAAGCTTCTTCAGGAAGTGAATAGTTTGTGATCCAAACGTTGTTGGAGAACAATCAGGCAGATGAATGTGAGGACAGCAGAGCTGCAGCAGCAACAGAGGAGTGGAGGACAATCTGGGGACCAACAACTTGAACAGAAACCTTTATTCACTCTGACATTATAACACAGACTGCATTATATATATTTACAGTATGAATGCAAAATGTAATAATACTAACAATCTGATGAAAAGTCATTTTAAATGTGAACATTATCGACATAATGAGTCATTTCTTTGGCAGATTAACGCTTTTTTTCCAGATTTTTTCATAAAGGCTGAAAAATGAAGGGTGGAAACATTTTTCTGTTTCTATAAGGACAATGATGACATGATGCAGAAGAGTTGATGTTACTGAAAACTCCTGCATTCAATGACTCTGATGGTTTTGTTCCAACTTTATCACTGAATCATGTTTTTTACTACAGTTGTCTTCTGTGTTTCATTTTTATTTTTAAGTCTGAATTGTAAATGTGTGGCAGTGAGCATGTAGAAACAGTAAAAACAGAGAGAGGAGAATGAAAACATGTCCATACATAGAGTATGGAATATTCAGAACAATTCAAAGAGCATCAAACATTATAAAACGACGTTTGAAGCCAAAATACCTTAGAAATATTCAGAGCCAACCATGAGAATCAAGGCATTTCAAAATAAAACTCAGTTTCACACAAAGACGCAGTTTAAATGTTTGGCTGTTGAACTGAATTGTTCAAGATCTCAATAAAGTTAATAATCTATCAGCAGCTTCACAAATCTCTTTTATAAACATTACATTACCAAGACACATTAAAACAAACCTTTATCTTGGATTCTTTCTATTCTCCCTCTTTTCTTTCTCCCTGAATGATAAATCATTTTTTAGACATTGTTTTCCAACTTATCTTCTGATCAGAGCTTTGGACGTTTGGATCGGTTCTGGAAGCACCAGGAGCAATTTTTATTCTTTTGGTCTATAAAACTATGATTTCTACATACATTATCAAATATATTGTAACAAACCACTTCATGAGGAAATTGTGTGATTATGTCATTGTGATGAAATTGAAATGGATATAAAATAAATCAGGTCCACTGATGGGGCCCCTTGGAGGCCCTGGGGCTGCTTAGTTTCTTGGGCCGGCCCTGAGACTGACGTTGGAATAACTTTCTCTAATTATTGAATTATGTTTCCTTCATCAAAGTTTATGAAGAAGAACCAAACTGGCCACTTTATTAGTCCAGCAAATTGTTTTTATTTGTTTATTTTCTTTTTTTTCCAGATATTGTTGATCTGTATCAGCCTGACCTTAAAGCGTCTCTGAAGACGATGTTCCAGAGTCTCTCTGAAGGCGTCGCTGAACATGGAAATAAAACCGGTCTGAACCAGATCTACACTGAGCTCTACATCACAGAGGGTCAACTAGAGAGGTCAACCAGGAACATGAGGTCAGACGCATTGAAACAGCATCCAGGAAACAAGAAACAGTCAGAAGAGAAGACATCTTTAAAGTCCCACCTGGAGGAGATCAGCCAATCAGAACAGTGATGACCATGGGCGTGGCTGGCATTGGGAAAACACTGTTAACACAGAAGTTCACTCTGGACTGGGCTGAAGGCAAAACCAACCAGAACATTGATTTCATATTTCCATTCACCTTCAGAGAACTGAATTTACTGAGAGAAGAAAAGTTCAGCTTATTAGAACTGATTCATGAACGATTCACTAAAACCAAAGGAATCAGAAACTTTGAATCGTTCCAGGTTCTGTTCATCTTTGATGGTCTGGATGAAAGTCGATTTAATCTGGATTTCAAGAACAATCTGATCCTGACTGATGTTACAGAGTCCAGCTCAGTGGATGTTCTGCTGACAAACCTCATCAGGAGGAAACTGCTTCCCTCTGCTCTCCTCTGGATAACCACACGACCTGCAGCAGCCAATCAGATCCCTGCTCAGTGTGTTGACATGGTGACAGAGGTCAGAGGGTTCACTGACCCCAGAAGGAGGAATACTTCAGGAAGAGATTCAGAGATGATGAAGAGAAGGCCAGCAGGATCATCTCCCACATCCAGAAATCCAAAAGTCTCCACATCATGTGTCACATCCCGTCTTCTGCTGGATCACTGCTAAACGTTCTGGAGGATGTGATGAAGACCAGAGAGAGAGAGAAACTACCCAACACTCTGACTGAGATATAGAGTTCCTGCTGGTTCAACTCAAAATCAAGGAGGAAAAGTATGATGGAGGAAAAAAGAGCAAATCTATATCTGGAGTCCAGAGAACAGGAAGCTGATTGAGTCTCTAGGAAAACTGGCTTTTGATCAGCTGCTGAAGGGAAACCTGATCTTCTATGACAAAGATCTCACACAGTGCGGCATCAACATCCAAGATGCTGCGTTGTTCTCAGGAGTTTTCACTGAGATGTTTAAAAGAGAGAAAGGGACACGCGACGTCTCCGTCTACTCCTTTGTTCATCTGAGCATCCAGGAGTTTCTGGCTGCAGTCTACATGCTCCACTGCTTCACCAGCTGGAAGTCAGAGGAGATCAAGACGTTCCTGGGAGACGAATACAGAGAAACATCTCTAGATGAGTTCATGAAGGAAGTCATGGAGAAATCCCTCCGCAGTAAAAATGGCCACCTGGACCTGTTTGTCCGCTTCCTTCATGGTCTCACTGTGGAGTCCAACCAGAGAGACTTAGAAGATCTGCTGGGTCAGACAGAGACCAGTCCAGAAACCATCCAGAGAATCATCACCAACCTGAAGGAGATGAACGCTGATAGAATCTCTCCTGACAGAAGCATCAACATCTTCTACTGTCTGGTGGAGATGAACGACGTCTCATTTTATCAGGAGATCCAACGGCTGCTGGATTCAGGGCAGCAGCTCTCAGTGACTAACTGTTCAGCTCTGGCCTTCATGCTGCAGATGTCAGAGAAGGTTCTGGATGAGTTGGACCTGGAGAAGTACAACACATCATCATCAATGGACGACAGAGACTGGTTCCAGCTGTGAGGAACTGCAGAAAGGCTCGGTGAGTCCAGATGTTTTCATTGTGTGATGCTGATTCAGCTCTATTGTCCTCCTGTTTCTTCTTCTGTCTTCAAGTTGATTCTGGATGTTTTTGCTCTTTATCTACTTCCTTCATCCTCTGGATTATTTTTCATAAACTTTATATTTTGTTGTTTACAGTTTCAGAAATATAAATACTTTGAAACATTCAAACCTCCACTAACAAAAGCTGCAAAGTATCTTGTTGAACAAAGACAATTAAATAATAAAACAATAAAACCCAAAGTGAGAACTTTCACAATAAAACTAGATGATTACATTGATCCTCCAGTTGGTTCCAGGTTCAGGTTTCTTCTCTTCCAATATTTTTATTGATCAGCAGAAAGTCTTCATGACAGTCAGTCTCTCCACTGGATGAATTTCCTTAATTATTTCCTTCCAGTCTAATGTGAATGTTCTGATGATCATCATCATCATCATCAGTGTTGCATGTTATTCGCCCAGGAAAACATGAAAACATTCTGGGGAGGAAATTTCACATGTTCTCTGATGAGATTAAAATAAGTTTGTGTCAAACTGACTGTCTGTTCGTGTCTGCTGCTCCTTTGTGGTGTTAATTTAAAAACTCAGCATGCAGAAGCTGCTGGTTGCTTATCTTGACTGAGAGCATTCTGCTAAAGAAAACCAGGTTCTGCAGAGCAAGAGAGACGTTTTGTAACAAGCAGAAATATTAAGTAGGGAACTGGTTACAGGTCTGAGAACAAACACAAAGCGTTCGGTTCCCCATGTACACTCAATCAATCAATCAATCAATCAATCAGTCAATCAATCAATCAATCAATCAATCAATCAGTCAATCTGATTGATTGATGTACACTCACTGCTAAGTTAATGAGGAATATTCATGAATATTTATCTTATGCTAGTCGACACATACAGTTACATTTAGCTATCAAGCTGCAGCATTTATGATGCTGCACTATGCTGCAGCATTTATGATGCTGCACTATGCTGTAGCATCATAAATGCTGCACTATGCTGCAGCACTTATGATGCTGCAGCTCGTGGTAAAAATGAGTCAATTTTTTAAAAGAAAGTGTTTATCAGAAAACCTAAAGATCAAATCAGGATTGATTTAACACCAGAGACAGAAAAATAGAGCAAAAGGTGATTTGAACTGCAGTTGGAACAATTATTGACAATATATACAGGGGTTAAAGTTCATCAATAACTGGTTCAATCTCCATTAATCACAAACACTGAAAAATAAGTTGATTAAATTCATTAAAAATGTCCAAATGATAAAGATCCAGTTCAGTTCACCAAACCAAGAACCAAAGTACTGAAGAGGGAGGAAAGCATTTATTAATATAGATCAGATATTGACTCGATCAATATCTGCCGATAACAGATATTGATCAGTTATCGGCGTTTGATTCATCAATTTCAACCTCAAATGATTCGTTGACACATTTTCAACTTTGGTCTGACTAGAATTGGATGATTGTTTGCTGATTGATCATTGATTATGGACCAGAAATCAACCATTCTGACTATAATCCATCGTTGACGTAGCATCCTGTGCTATCAGGTCGGCTAACTCTGGGTCAGTTAGCGTTAGCAGTTGCGTTAGCAGTTAGCGTTAGCAGCTCATCGTCTGGTCTTGTTCCTTAATAGTTCCTCCCATAATGTTGTTGTTCTCTGATGGATCAATAAAAGCAGCAACGTGGCGATGAGGGTTCAGCCTCGGCCACAGACCTTTCCTGAATCTGATAATCCACATTAATCTTAATCCTGGCAGAATGTGATTCATACAGACTGAAAACAACCTATAATCTGATTATTAAAGCCAAATCTGTCCAGAGCTCAATAAAGATATTTCCAACACATTGAATCAAAAGCCTTTTCAGCATCTAAATGACTTTATTGATTCTGTTTAACCTTTGACCTGTGAGGTCAGGAGCCCACGTTGTCATGGGTTTGAATGTTGATGATAAAACCAGATTAAATCTGATCTGTGTCTGTAATTCCTGGGATTATAATATTTATCCAGTGTTGCTGCAGTGATCCTGTAATCAATGTTTCAAACTGATGTTGGTTTATGAACCACATCCAGTTTCATCTTTACCAGGTTTAGGAATCACTGACATCTCTGCTCTGATCCAAGATGGCGACGTTTCTCCTCCACAAAGTTCTGATCAAATCAATCCTTCAGCAGCCGCTCTGCCGGGTCGCCTCCTCACCTGCCGTCTGATTCCCTTTCAGTCTTTAATGACTTTATTGATCAGTGATTAGTTGTTAGTGGATGATTTTGATCTGTTCCTATCGATGGTGAATCCAGAGCAGCAGCAAAAACTGCATGAGGCTGAGAGCAGAACTGAGTGGAGGATCATTCAACAGATTCTCATGTGTTTTAGAGATCGGTGTCTTTATTTGTTGGATTTTAATTTATTGATAAATCTATTAGTTTGCTATCAGTTTCTTTGCTTTGATCTATTTCCATAATAGTTGAGTTGAATAAATTTATCCTTTTCCTCCATCTGGTTTCATAGAAACAGTTTCTCCTTGTTTCTCTGATTTGTTATTATTATTATTTTCCATACGTTGTATTTGTAGAGATTTTAGTTTTCTAATCTTTTAAACATTTCTCTCTTTCTCGTTAGAGAACCAGATAATTAAAGTTTTTGCTTCGTCCCATAAAATCCAGGGAGAAAAATCCTCTGTGTTGTTCTGGTTCAAATCATCTTTGAGTCGTTTTTCCTGAAATCTGTTAAATTTAGTGTCATTAATAAACTATAATTATTGTTGATTCTCCACAGGGTTTCTTTGGTTCATGACCCAAAAGGGACCGGCCCTTTCCAGGCCCTGGTCTGGCTCAGATCCGCCCTGGTCTGGCCCGGATACGGCCCTTTCCTGGCCCGGGTCTGTCCCTGGTCTTGCGCTGGTCTGGCTCGGGTCCGGCCAGGATCCGGCCCTTTCCTGGCCCTGGTTTTGCCGTGGCCCGGCCCTGGTCCGGCCCGGATCCGGCCCAGGTTCGGCCCGAGTCCGGCCCTTTCCTGGCCTGGGTCTATCCCTGGTCTTGCGCTGGTCCGGCCCGGATCTGGCCCTGTGCTGGCCCTGGTCCGGCCCTGGTCTGGCCTGGGTCCGGTCCTGGTCTGGCGCTGGTCAGGCGCTGGTCCGGCCCGGGTCCGGCCCAGATCCGGCCCTTTCCAGGCCCTGGTCTGGCCCGGATCCGGCCCTTTCCTGGCCCGGGTCTGTCCCTGGTCTTGCGCTGGTCTGACTCGGGTCCGGCCCGGATCCGGCCCTTTCCTGGCCCTGGTTTTGCCGTGGCCCGGCCCTGGTCCGGCCCGGATCCCGTCAAGGTTCGGCCCGAGTCCGGCCCTTTCCTGGCCCGGGTCTATCCCTGGTCTTGCGCTGGTCCGGCCCGGATCTGGCCCTGGTCTGGCCCGGGTCCGGTCCTGGTCTGGCCGTGGCCTGGCCCTGGTCCGGCCCTGATCCGGCCCGGGTCCGGCCCTGGTCTGGCCCTGGTCTTGCGCTGGTCTGGCCCGGGTCCGGCCCGGATCCGGCCCTTTCCTGGCCCTGGTTTTGCCGTGGCCCGGCCCTGGTCCGGCCCGGATCTGGCCCTGGTCTGGCCCGGGTCCGGACCTGGTCTGGCCCGGGTCCGGCCCGGATCCAGCCCTTTCCAGGCCCTGGTCTGGCCCGGATCCGGCCCTTTCCTGGCCCGGGTCTGTCCCTGGTCTTGCGCTGGTCTGGCCCGGGTCCGGCCCGGATCCGGCCCTTTCCTGGCCCTGGTTTTGCCGAGGCCAGGAAATCCGGCCCGGCCCTGGTCCGGCCCGGATCCGGCCCAGGTTCGGCCCGAGTCCGGCCCGAGTCCGGCCCTTTCCTGGCCAGGGTCTATCCCTGGTCTTGCGCTTGTCCGGCCCGGATCTGGCCCTGGGCTGGCCCTGGTCCGGCCCTGGTCTGGCGCTGGTCCGGCGCTGGTCCGGCGCTGGTCCGGCGCTGGTCCGGCCTGGATCCGGCCCTTTCCAGGCCCTGGTCTGGCCCGGATCCGGCCCTTTCCTGGCCCGGGTCTGTCCCTGGTCTTGCGCTGGTCTGGCTCGGGTCCGCCCGGGTCTTTGCCGATCTCATAAGTATATTTTAAAATGACCATTTCCAGTGGGGTGGCAGTAGGGGTGGCAAGGCCTCTGTTGGGGGTGGCAAATGCAATCCCTGCCACCCCTCTGTCTCCGCCTCTGCTGTCTGAGACTGAAAATCTTTTGGCCTCCAAGCCACTTAAAGTAGCTCTTTTAAATATCAGATCACTCTGTGCTAAAGCTCTATTAATTAATGATTTCATCACTGAGTATAATGTTGATGTTATGTTTCTGACAGAAACATGGTTGAATGACGATAATGACCAAATTGTACTCATTGAATCAGCGCCTCCTGACTACAATTTTTTAAGTGAGAATAGAAAACATAAAAAAGGAGGAGGCGTGGCTTCTATATTTAAGAAAACCATAAATTGTAGTAAAATCTCTTTCGGTCACTTCACATCTTTTGAGTATCTTGGAATTCAGGTTAAAGGCTTCAAACGAACTTTGACACTAACTTTATACAAAGCTCCAGCATATGTGGAAAATTTTTTTACTGACTTGAATGATCTTCTTTCTCTCATATGCATTGACTATGATTGTTTAATAATTGTTGGTGATTTCAACATTCACGTGGACAAACCTGAAAACAGAGGAGCAAAAAAGCTCTCTGATATTTTAGAAAATTTTGGTTTAACACAACATGTTAAACAAGCAACACACACTCAAGGACACACACTGGACCTGGTTATCAGTAAGTGTGTGAATATTTCCAATGTCTCTGTAACTGATGTCGCCCTGTCGGATCACTTCGCTGTTATCTTTGAAGGTTCTTTATTCTTTGACCCACTTGGACAAACAGCTACTGTCACAAAACGTTCTTTCACAGAAAACACAGCAGAAACATTTAATCAAATCTACTCTTCCTCCTCACCCTTAAGCTGTAATGATGTAGATCAGTTGTTAGATGACTTTCAGTCCAAAGTTTCATATATCATTGATTCCATTGCCCCAATTAAAGTAAAGGTTTTGACTGGTAGAAAGAAATCTCCATGGAGAAATGCACAAATAGTTCGGTCTGCAAGACAACTCTGCCGCAGGGCAGAACGACAATGGCGTAAAACTCAACTTCATGTTCATCATGACATCTACAAAGAAAAACTACGTAACTATCACTTAACACTAAAACATGGAAGGGAGGTTTTCTTTGCAGATGTCATAAACAAAAACATCAATAATGCTCGAACTTTATTTGCAACAGTTGACAGGCTCACAAACCCTCCTGTGACGTTTCCACCTGAATTCCAATCTAATGTTGCCTGTAATAAGTTTTCTGATTTCTTTTCAGAGAAAATCCAAAAAATCAGAGGATTAATCTGCACATCAACTTCAAAGCCAGAACCATTGCTGTACCAAAACAAAACAAATACAGAAAAAATGACCCATTTTCAACTACTTAATTATAAAACTCTAGAAGAAATTATAAGTCAATTAAGTTCAAGCTCCTGCTGTCTGGATGTCCTTCCCACACATTTCTTTAAGAAAGTCCTGCCTGTTATTGCTACTGATCTGATCCAAATCGTAAACTCATCGCTTACATCAGGTGTTTTTCCCCAGGCCTTGAAAACAGCAGTCATCAAACCACTGTTAAAAAAGAACAACCTGGACAAATCACTATTGCAGAATTACAGGCCAATCTCAAACCTCCCATTCATCAGCAAAGTTATTGAAAAAACTGTGTGTAAACAATTAAATAGTTTCCTCATGATGACCAACTGCTTTGACACTTTCCAGTCTGGTTTTCGTGCTCACCACAGCACGGAGACTGGCCTAGTCAAAGTATTCAATGATATCCATATAAATACGGACTGTGGGAGAACCACAGTGCTGGTTTTGTTGGACCTCAGTGCAGCTTTTGACACTGTCGACCATGACATATTACTGAATCGACTTGAAAGTTGGGTTGGACTCTCTGGTTCGGTGCTCGACTGGTTTGAATCCTACATAAAGAACAGGGATTTCTTTGTTTCAATTGGAAACTTCTCATCAAAGAGGTCAAAGGTCACATGTGGGGTACCCCAAGGTTCAATCCTAGGACCCCTCTTATTTAATATTTATATTCTCCCACTAGCTCAGGTCATAACAGAAAATAATATTAGCTACCACAACTATGCGGATGACACAAAGCTCTACATTACGATGTCACCAGGTGACTCTGAACCCATCCAATCACTGAATAAATGCTTAGAGCAGATAAATGTGTGGATGTGCCAAAACTTTCTCCAACTGAACAAAAATAAAACTGAAGTCATTATTTTTGGACCTAAAGAGGAACGATCTAGAGCTATAGACCTAGAGCTATAGATCTAGAGTCAATGCACAGCTTCAGTTATTACAACTAAAACCTAGTGATCAGGCCCGAAACCTGGGAGTAGTGATGGACTCGGACTTGAACCTCCAGAGCCACATAAAGACAGTAACAAAATCGGCCTTCTATCACCTGAAGAACATCTCCAGGATTAGAGGACTAATGTCTCAGCCAGATCTAGAAAAACTCATCCATGCGTTTATCTTTAGTCGCATTGATTATTGCAACAGCATCTTCACAGGCCTGTCCAACAAATCAATCAAACAGCTGCAACTGATCCAGAATGCTGCTGCTCGCGTTCTCACTAGAACCAGGAAGATAGAGACATAACACCAGTTTTAAAGTCCCTCCACTGGCTCCCTGTAGCTCAAAGAATAGATTTTAAAATACTGTTGTTAGTTTACAAATCACTGAACGGTTTAGTACCACAATACATCAAAGATCTGCTGTTGTTGTATCAAACTTCCAGACTCTCAGGTCTTCTGGTTCTGGTCTGCTCTGCATCCCCAGAACCAGAACCAAAAGAGGAGAAACAGCTTTCAGCATCTATGGACCAAAAATTTGGAACGGGCTTCCAGAGAGCTGTAAAACAGCGGAAACCCTGACTTCCTTCAAATCTCAAGTAAAAACGCACCTGTTTAGAGTTGCATTTGAAATGTAATATGTATGGATTTGATTTTGTGGATATTTAGGTAATTTTTTTTTTTTTTTTTTCCTGTTGTGGGCAACGGGGCCCGGCGAATACCCGTGGTTAAACGGACGGCGGAGTCCGGCGGTAACAGGCGCTTAAATTCCGTGTCAAAGGGAAGGGGGAAGAAAGGGAAAGAAGAGGGAAAAAAAAAAAAAAAAAAAAAACTTGGTATTTTATTCTATGTTGCATGCCTTTGTGTTTTGTGTTTATGATGTAAAGCACTTTGAAATGCCTTGTAGCTGAAATGTGCTATACAAATAAAATTTGATTGATTGATTGATTTTAATTTTGCTGGAGACCAGAAAATGATTTTAGTGAAAGTTCCAGTTTCATATCAATATCTGATACTTTGAGTCCAAAATGTTCCTAATAATCATTACTTACTGTCAACACATTGAATCAGGAGATTCTCTATGATCCATGCAGCAGAAAATGGATCCCAACATCTTCTAGTTACTGGAGAAATTTCACTGCTTCATTATGAAAAATGGACCCAAACACTCTGGTTCTGGTTCTGTCCACCATGATCCATATCATCACTATAGTAGATCAGACTGATGGACTGAGAGTTTATCAGTCTGTCTCATCTCAATGTGTGCAGACATATTAATGAGGATCATCTGCAGATCCTGGGTCACCTGGACCCGGTTCTGACCCAGTCCAGACGGTTCAGACCGGAAGGAGCAGCAGGACCGGTTCTGCTGCTGCTCTGCAGGACGACCAGAACAACGTGAAGCTTTTAGCTGCAGCAGGTTGACGACTGTCCACTTTCTACTTTGTTAAAGCATCAAATCCAGCAGATGAACGGAGACAGAACTGGAGCATCATGTGTTTGTTCTGCTCCCAGTTTCCTCTGTGGCAGCATTTAATAACCTGCTGGGAAACATGTTTCTATACAATATATTACTATTATTCATGATGATGCAGCAGATAGTGGCTCAACAAACCCAGAGATGCCAGAGGTCCACAGCAGCTGGACTTCCTGTTCTGCTCACTTCATTTAGAACTCACTTCCTGCTTGATCTAAACGGTCTAGTCCAAGTCAGAGCTGTGAGCAGTTCCTCCTCCTCTCCATCATCTCCAGTCGTTTCCTTCATTCAGCTCAGTCAGCCTCTTCATCAGCTGCTGCAGAGAAACTGAACTTTCCTTCACTGATGATAGAAGATCTTCAACATCTGACTGCAGCTGAAGGTCTGAGGACATGAAGCCTGGACCAGAACCAGAACCTGGACCAGAACCAGAACCAGAACCAGAACCAGAACCTGGACCAGAACCAGAACCAGAACCTGGACCAGAACCAGAACCAGAACCAGAACCTGGACCAGAACCAGAACCAGAACCAGAACCTGGACCAGAACCAGAACCTGGACCAGAACCAGGAACTGCACAAATTCTCTGTGGGGTCAAACTCAGTAGATATTGATCAGATATTGATCAGATGATGACATCACTGTTATCATATTTTAGTCTGTTTATGATCCAGATTTATTTCATTAGAACTGAATTTATTTCTTCTCTAATCACAGACTTGGTGACTGTTTGCTCCAAAAGGCTGAATGTAAAGTTTTGGCCTCGGCTCTGAAGTCCAACCCAAATCTGACTGAACTGGAAATAAATCAGATCAACATAGTGGAAGGTGGAGAATCTGATATGAAGCATCTGGTTGAGATCCTGGAGAATTCAGTCAGTAAAGTGAAGAAACTGGGGTTTGTTTTCTCTATTTATGCAATAAAATCATTTATTGATTCTTTAATCAATAGTTAATCAATTTAATGTTAATATATATTATTTTAAAACAACCTGTTTAATTATCAGAATAAAATCTCTAAAACTTTTGACCTTATTAATTATTTTCTTATTTCAGACTTTGAGATTATTGAACTTTGTTTTTCAGTTTTCTCTTTAAAATGTTTTTGATGAACAAAATGAGTAAAATAATTGAAATGCTGTGAATGAATGATGGAGATGTTTCAGTTTGGTAAAGATTCAGATGCTTTTATTTCTGATTCTTTACATCAGAATGAAATGTTGATCCTCCAGAGCCACAAACACTGACGAGTTCAAATCCTCATTAATGAACGTCTAAGAAACCACTGATTGTAGAAAAGCAAATCTAGATGCAATGAATGAAAGTGAGGTTTGCAGCAGCAGCAGGTTCCTCAGCTTTGTCCTGAGGCTGTGGTTCTGTTGGGCCGGGTCAGAGAGGAACCGTCTCCTGAGGAAATAATGGCCTCCATTGGCTTTCAGCAGCTTTAATAGGAACCCAAAGGCCATTAATGAAGAACCTGACTGGTTCTGATCCAGTTACCAAGTCGGGTCTGATGATCAGGAACCAGCAGAAATAGCTCACTCATCCAGACTGATAGAAAACTTTGAGTTTCTTTGTTGATCAAATGTTCTGGTTCTGCTGGTTTGGACTCTTTAAACCAGTTTGACTGGATCAGATGTTAGAATCACTTCATCATGTTTCTTTTACATTCAGGGAAATTAATTTCTACATTTTATTATTGATTTGTTCATATTTCAGTTTTAACTGCATCCTGTTGCTTCACATCTTTTATTCTTTATTCAGATTGTATGGCTGCAGTTTCTCAGAGACCAGCTGGCCGTCTCTGTTCTCAGCTCTGAAGTCCAACCCGACCCGTCTGACAGAACTGGACCTGATCAGAACCAACCTGGAAGGTTCTGGACTGAAGGATCTCTGTGGTTTTCTACAGACTGAAGGCTGCAGACTGGAGACATTGAGGTATTTTAATGATATAATTATTGATATTTCTGTGAATAATTCTATATAATTGATCATCAATCAAAGTTCATTTCTTCTGATCTAATCAATATTTTCTGAGTTTGTTCCTGGATCCAGAGTTTAATTTAGTTTCTCTGTGTAACTGAGTTGGACCTGCTGATCTGAGGTCAGAACAGGACAGCATTCGGACCCCAGTGTGTAGAAATCCCCCTCAGGTCAAGCAGGTCAAAGGTCATCCAGTCTAGAAAAGTGAAATCCTGGAATCTGACAGGAACAAATCAATAATCAATGATTGATGCTTCAACACTTTGATCAGAACCTGGAATGATTTTACTGACTAAAATCCTCCAACACATTATGACCCAGTACCAGGTTCTGGTTCTGGTTCTGGTTCTGAAGTCAGCAGGTCTTTATTGGAGCAGCAGCTTGTTGGCATTAATATTCATGAGAATCTTTAACTGGTTCTGTTGGACTGGTTAACCTGCATCCTGTTGGTTCACATCTTTTATTCTTTATTCAGGTTGAGGTTCTGCAGTTTGTCAAAGATCAGCTGTGATTATTTGGCCTCAGCTCTGAAGTCCAACCCGACCCGTCTGACAGAACTGGACCTGACAGGAACCAACCTGAAGGAATCAGATGTTCAGCAGCTGAAGGATCTTGTAAAAACTTTAGAGTAAGTAAATGTTTGCAGTGAGTCCAGCTGCTGTCAGCATATTGAACTAAACCCAGTCAGCATCAGAGCAAAGATCCAGTGTTCCCAGTAAAGCTGCAGCTTCTCAGTGGGAGGAGAATGGTTCAGGCTTCCTGATTGGACACAGCAATCAGCCAATCAGAGGAGCAGCAGCTTGCTTGTTGTTGCTGTGTCCATGTCTCCAGGACGTCCAGCTGGACTCCAGCGTCCAACATGTCTAGAGACAGTGGTCCTCATTCATCAAACAGCAGCAGATCTGATCTCAGACCTGCTTGTTCTCTCAGTTCAACAGGAAACAACTGATCAGGTTCATCTTGGTCACAGCTCTGAGATCAGTCTGACTGGAAACCATCTACTGGATGTGCTGCGTCACTGACTGCTGCTGGAAACACTCACTGATCTGCTCTCCTTTCTTCTTCTCTCTGCAGGTGGAAGTACTCATGGTCTCTGTAAAGTAGAGAACGTCTCTGTGTCCTGCTGATCCTCACAGGTTGAAGCTGCTGCAGTTTGAGTCTAAAGAGACTCTGGATTATGATGATGACCTCTGACCTCAGAACATTTTCTATTTCAAATATTTTCCAGACGTCGATTGTTGAAGATTTTCAGTTTTATTTTTCATCTGATCTGTTTGATGATCTGCAGGAACAAAAGAGAGAAAAATACTCTGAGTTTGTTAGAAAAGTTGAATTGAGCAAAAACATGAAGCATAAATTTTATTAAAAAGCTTTAAAGAGTTTGTTAATGGGACAAAATGTCATTTTATTCTGTTGAGGTGAAAAAGTTGATCTAAAATCAGACATGATAGCAGCTCTATAGATTCAGAGCCAAACAGTAAAACTTCCTCTGGATCTGTGGCATTAAATCCACTTGAGATCCAGACGTCCTGACCAGATCCTGCAGAGAAAAGAAACAATATTTGAACGTGGATCATTTGGACTCGGCTGCTTGGATGTGTGTTTGGATTTGAAAGGTTTTGTTGTGAAGCAGAAAGTTGATGAAGTTCACAGTGAAGACGACTTCAGTCCACCTGAAACCTGGTTTCACTCAAACGTCTTTATTCACTTTAAGTTTCTGATGCAACAAGAAGGAAGAAAAGGTCAAAGGTGAACCAGAGATTAACTCCTTGTTGCTCACAGATGTGATGGGATCAGTTTGCACAGCTGTTGTTCAAGGAGAACAGTTTTATTTTCCAGCTTTTGTTGATGGATGCAAATTTGCATCAGAAGATGAGAAAATAACTTTCTGTGGTTTATTTGTGTGGATTTAAAGTGGAACAAGTTTAAAGAAAAAACTAGAGGAGAAACCTGAGCCAGCGTTCTGACAGACCAAACACTGAGGAACCAGAGTTTGCATCGTCGTCAAAGTGACAAAATCATCTGAATGTTGTGACTCGTTTCCCATCAAATCCCTGACAGGAGAAGCAAAACCTCACGTCTCCAACATGAAGCTGCAACAGGATGCAGAACTTCCACCGAGCGTCACGTCACTCACAGCAGATCAGGAGCCTCGCTCTTCACCTCAACACCGCCTAAAACCTGGGACCAGGGGTTAAAGGTCATCTCCTGCACCTAGTGCAACATTTCACTTCTTATGAGAGCGCGTCTCAGTTTAGAGGCCAAAACCAGCATGAAGCTTCAGAGTTTTCCTGCAACGTAGCTCTGGTCTATTGGCTTCAGTGAGGCTGGTTTTACCGAAGATGTGTTCAGGTACGCAGGAAAATTCAGTGCTGATACAGACGGGACGAGCGACTCCACCTCTGATGATGCTTGGATAAAAGTTTATATGTTCATGAGATGAAACAGTTAATTTTCCTCACATATCAGGACATTCTCCATCGGTCATCCTGCCGTCGTTCTGGATTTATTCATTATTTACATCATCAATAGAAATTGTTCAACCAGATGTTTCTCTTTGTTTTAATTTTCACTGTTATAAAGTCAGATCAAGTCAGCTTACATTACTGTCGTTAAATAAGAGTCACTGCAGGATTTTATTCAGTCTGATCAGAAAAATCACGAATCTGCAAGAAAGCTCAACAACAACAAGCAATAAGCGTATTGTTCTGAAGTGAACTGGATGTGCCACATTGTTTTGTGGGATTTCTTTGTGGCTCAGAGAACTTTATCTGTCCAATTTTCCCGTGATGAAAACCTTTCGTTAATTTGGGTTTTGATTGATCTGCATACTCAATCGCTATCATGGTCATGTGGCCGTTTTCTGACATGATCAAATTCTTTGTCCTAAACTCTGTAAAGAGTTTAACACAGCAGCTTTAGTTTCTTTTTAAATCTGTCTTCATTACATATAATCCAAACAATGAATTATAATATATCAGAATAATATTTGAGTTAGTAAACTGTCAATATGACTGAGGAAAACTTCGTTTTTATCTAAACTCCACATTAAATGTAAATAATGCAGCATTATCAAGACTTTAGTTCCCACGATGGCCACCAGAGGTCGGAAATACCCGTTCTGAATATAGAGGTGAGTTTGTGTAGAGCTGCAGCTGGTTTCTGACTTCTGTTAAGTTGATCACGTTTATATCTTTCTCATTATAAATATTGATATTGTGGTCTGTCTAATGGACTTTAATATATAGATGTGTTATTTACATACAAATAACTCTATATCTACCAAATAAGGTACATATTAATACAATAACAGGTTTGTTTGCCAAGATGCTGAGTTTCCGGTTTAGTCAGGAGAATTTTTAAGAAATAATTATTTCTGGAAAACAGAATAATTACTATAATTTGGCCCAATTATATAATAATAATAACATCGTAAGAAAATTGCACAATTAAGCTTTCTTACAATATAATAAACTTCCAAGCTAAAATGTACTTTCAGGAGAATTTAGTTCCTTGTGTTTTACTTTGAAAGAACACAGAGGAAGTGCTTTTCACATATCTGCTCTCTAGCTTTACTCTTGCTGTCGTTACACACTGTGTCCACTAGGGGCAAAAGGCTAAGTTAGTAGTTAGCTACTTTCCCGCTCCTGATCAGCTAATGAATCTCTTGTTGCTCTCTTGGTGTTTCTACTGTTATTTCTTAAATCTGTTTCATATTTTAACATAAAATCAATGTTTTGTTTGTGAAGAAGAAGCAGCTTCACAGAGATGAACCAGATCGCAGACTTTGAGAGGAGCTAACGATGCTACCAGACCAGCAGGAGCTTCAGAGGAGCTGTGGCTCCTAAACTATTAATATCATTTTAGGGCGGTATTTGCCCTCTAGTGGATCTAGATAGTAACTACAGCCAC